TTTCAAGGCAAAAGCAGGGCAGCAAAGAAAAAGAAGAAGAAAGGCCTTTAAATAGATTTTACAGCAATAAAAACACGGCCCACTAGGCCCGTTTTAACACGGCATGAGAACACAATGATCCATTTCTCACCACAACTGACACAGCTGAAATGACGGACGGCACAATTCTACACAATAGTACAGTTCAACGGGCAGATTTCAGACTTATCCATCCAACGCCACGGCAGAGTTATCATATTGCTACAAAAAGAACTCACCAACCATGAAGCAACGAAGGGTTACCTCACAAGGAACACAAGAACCCGGTTCTCATAGAAAGAACTCGGGAATCTCATAAACAACCAGGACATCAGCAGAAAAAAGAATGATAACTCAGAAGACAAGATTCTTTCCATTACAAATGGCTTCAAAAAATACAAAATTACACATCTTACAAGACCCAACGAACTCGGTACTACGACAAGCAAGGTAGCAAAAAGGAACTCAGACACAACTAGGCTCTGGAACGACTACGTGTTCCAAATTGCTACTCGGTAGAACAAACCGCACTCGGCTACACTGTTTTCTTCAAAGGAAGAACGCAGCACATCCAAGGCGGAAATCAGCAGCATGGCAGGACAACATGGACCAGGAGAAGCCTGCAGGCATCTGTCTACCCAAGTCCAATGTGATGCTGGATATGGTGTTGATCTGCACCGGACAGTCTCAGGGCAAGCGACGAGGATCAACCCAGAACTGCTGGATGAAGGAACGTATCCCACATCACAAGACTTCCTCCAACTACCGCCACGTACTTCCTAGTACAATGCCGCTGCGAGATTAGTCTACCTCTAATCCCTATCACAAGACTTCCTCCAGCTACGACAAGATATACAAAAACTACAAAATAAGCCCGAGGGCTGCTCTACTTCACAAACTATCATATTCATGACTACAGAGATTTCAGTTTCAGACCACGCAACAAAATGCTCGATGAATCAAAACAGCACACAAGGAGGATATTTATAGGCCAAAGAAGTGGTGCACATGGACCGGGAGCACCAACGGAACAAACCTAACAAAGGACATAGTGAAAAGATAGAATTCAATGAAAAGGACTCAGGTGTGAAGGAACATTACTCAAGAACGAGAATATTCGAAAGAATATACCAACACTGTATAACCCGTGAACAAACGGTATTTACACTCAACCACCACCATACAACTACATCTGACAACAGTAGACTACCAGAGAATATGCCAAGATCCTGTATCTGAGTTCTTTTTGAATAATGCTCGGGGGCTACAACAGGAGAGGTTTTCAGTTCTTTGAACAACTCAGATTCAAGACCCTCCAACTCTTTGTTCCAAATAGCAAGAGGCTCGGGGGCTACACTCAGTGAGTGCACTTTTTCTTCAAAAAAGTGCACATTACTCAGAAGACCTCTTCAAGACAAGAGTTGTCAAACAACATAAGATTCAAGACCCTCCAACTTTTTGTTCCAAATAGCAAGAGGCTCGGGGGCTACACTCAATGAGTACACTTTTTTCTTCGAAAAAGTGCACGTCACCAAGGAGACTTCTTCAAGACATACCACTTCAAGACCTCATGACAAAAAGAACCCGGACCGAGCTATATCCGAGTTCTTTTTGATAAAGAACCCGGGTATATGCTCGGAGCCCTTCGACGAAGAATCAGAGCAATTTCAAGACAAGACCCTCCAGCTACTTGTTCCAAATAGCAAGAGGCTTGGAGGCTACACCTAGCTGGGTGTGCTGTTTTCTTCAAAAAAGCACACACCACTCGAAGATCCCAGGAAGCGCTATATGGTTTCACTCAAGAAAGCACTCGGACGATGCTTGTTTCTACTCGGCAAGACCTGAAGGAACAAGACGAGGCTTCCAAAGCTCAATCATGAAGTGCTCGGGGGCTTGTCAATGCGGGACCCACGGGATACCCTACAAGGAAGAGAGAAGATCTAGTCTAACTAGGATTCTTTCCATGTAATCTTAGTAGAAGTATTATTCTGTAATCCTACTAGGAACTCTCATTGTAAACCGACTAGGACTCCGGCCTCCTAACTATATAAAGGAGGGCGGGGTTCCTGGAGAGAACACTTTACAAACAATCCAACGCAAAGGTTAACGCCGACTAGACGTAGGGCTATTACTCGATCATGATCGAGGGTCCGAACCAGGATAAATCGACTGTCTCTTGCGTTTACCGTCGAGTTCTGCATACGCCGAAGCCCGAACAAACTGCTCCGAGTACCCCCATGGCAGGCTATCGGTGGTGAAACATCGATAGTAAGAAACTTCACCGGCGGAGTGTCTGCTCGTAGAGTGTGGACAGTCTGACGGTGCCACCGGCACTCTATACAGAAAAGACAAAGATCACTGTAAGTGACCGGACGCTGGTCTCAGAAGGACCAGAGCGTCCGGTCAATGGTAGCAGGGAGCATGCGGTTTTGGTATCATGACTGGACGTTGGCACGAAAACAACCGGACGCTCAGGTCCTGAGTCCGATCAGTATGACGTATGATGGCGTTGAGTGACCGGACACTGGGTGAGTCCGGTCGGGCATGACCGGACGCGTTCGGTCGTGATTTCTCGCTTTTGGATGCTTGCTGGAAACGACCGGACACTGAGGTCCAGCGTCCGGTCATGTTCAAGCAGCGCGTCCAGTCATAACTTAAATGTACTGATGACCGTTGAGATCGTGCGATCAGCGTTTGAAGCAGGGGACACGTGGCACACATCGCGTGACCAGACGTTGGGCGTCCGGTCGATCTGACAAGTGAAGGGGTACAACGGCTCTATTTCGTGGGGGCTTCTATTTAAGCCCTATGGCCGGCTCTAGCTCACTCTCTTGGCCATTTGCATTGACATAGCAACCTTGTGAGCTTAGCCAAAGCCCTCTCACTCATCTCCATCATTGATTCAACATCCTTGTGAGATTGGGAGTGAATCCAAGTGCATTGCTTGAGTGTTTGCATCTAGAGGCACTTGGTGTTCGTGTTTCGCTGCGGGATTCACTTGTTACTCTTGGTGATTGCCGCCACCTAGACGGCTTGGAGCAGTGAGAATCGTTAAGCGGAGGTTGGTGATTGTCTCCGGCTCCGATCGTGGTGATTGTGAGGGGTTCTTGATCTTTTCCCGGCGGAGAGCCAAAAGGTACTCTAGTGAATTGCTCGTGGCTTGTGTGATCCTCATCTTGTGTTGGTTGTGCGGCACCCTATTGAGGGTTTGGCGTGTGATGCCAAATAGTGCGTGAACCTCCAAGTGAGTGAATCGCCACAACGAGGATTAGCTTGTCGGCAAGCAAGTGAACCTCGGTAAAAATTATTGTGTTCATTATTTAATTCCGAGGTGATTGGTCTTCATTGGTATTCATTCTTGTGATTGATTGGTTCACTCCTCGACACGGCGGTATAAACAAATTGCTCACTCTCTTTACATTACCGCAAACTAGTTGTCAAGCTCTTTAGTGTAGCTAGTTGTGAGAACTTGTTAGTTTGGTTATTGTGGCTCTTTAGTTAGCCTTTGAGAGCACACTAACTTAGTGTAGTGACATAGCTATTGGGTGGAGAGAAACTATATAAACTAGAATTGTGGTAGGTGGCTTGCAATTTTAGTAGGCTAGCGCAACACTTGTTTCGCCTCATAATTGTCTAACCGGTTTGTTAAGTGTTGTTGTAGAAATTTTTAATAGGCTATTCACCCCCCTCTAGCCATTAGGACCTTTCACCATCTGGTGTTGGTGGTGGACTCTTCGTCAAAACAATAGTGAGCAGTCTGAATGCAAATTTCAATACAAGTTGGTTTCTTAATTTGAATTTCAAATGCAAATGTTGATCATGATGCTTATGGTCAGTGACATGTCATGACCGGGTCGTGACAGATTGTGTGTTGATGTCTATTACAATAGCCGGGGTTTATATCTATACCCAGGGCCTAATACGAGTCCTAGTCGAATAAGACTTATCACAAAACTTAGAATAAAAGAAAACATCCTAATTTAGATAAATTAGACTCCACGCTTCCCTTTTTAGTAGAGTTCGACACGTTCACGTTCCAGCCGATGTCGACCACGCCTCAGCTTTCCAAAATCAATGGAAACTAGTTTCTTCACGCCGAGCCAATGTTGACGTCACGAGTCATATAGCTGATTCCGACTCTAACCGTACATTGGCCGACTCCGTATGCAACGTGGCCTTCAGGCGCCTCTCTGAATCCTAGGTTCCCGCGTACCATTCCAAAATCTAGTGTAAACAGATGGTCTGGCTCCTATGTTGAGGTTTGGGTGAGTGAGTTCTATACGACCCTTTGGATTCACCCGGACCATGAGTACCTACCGTTTGCATTCAGAGGACGGCTGCACAGACTTTACAGTTCACAGATCAGGCGGAAGCTAGGGCCTATAGTGTCATCTTCTGAACGAGGTGATGAGGTGGATGTTACTTCCCAGTTGTGGCTATAGAGAGGGGCCGACACCGACAAACCTCCAGCAGTGGCTCTTAGGTGTACTGGTCTCAGTTTCTATTTGATATTTAGGATATTATTCTTTTAGAGATGGAGGATACCATTGCACACGGCCTCAAGGCTGACCGTCGCTGCCCTATGCTCATTGGATTTACTTCATGATCATGAAGAGCACAGAGTTTCCTTCCCACAGCAGAGAGCTCGAGGACTCACCCACAGATTCCCTGTCTACCGAATGACTTCAACTACTGATGGACGGCGTGGGAACAGGGTCTTGAGACAAGTTCGATGTGCAGCTAGATCGGTAGATACAGATGTTGTTGATGAGCAGGATGAGGCTATCAGGGCCGTTGAACTGAGCTTACACAGCTGTTTTCACAAGACTACACCACTGACAGCTCAGACAAGAATTCCCAAAATTGAACGAAAATACTAGGGCGCTGGTGCCGAAACCTAGTTGGCCCATGGGCCTTGGCCGCCGCCCGCTACATTTCTCTAAATCCTGCGCAGATACGGCGACGAGATCTCGGTGGAAGCCATGGATGGCGGCGGGGACCTGATCAGCGTCCTCCCGGACGGCGTCCTCGGCGAGATCGTCACCCGCCTCCCCACCGCCGACGCCGTCCGCGTCCAGGTCCTCTCCACCCGGTGGCGCCACATCTGGCGCTCCTCCCCGCTCAACCTCGATCTCCGTTCCCCAAACTACTACGACGACTACAAGCGCCTCGTGTCCGGAATCCTCGCGGCCCACCTTGGCCCCGGCCGCCGCCTCAAAGTCGACTGGCCGTACGACGACGGCGAGTCCTACAACCGCTGGCTTCAGTCCCCCGCCCTCATCGGTCTCCAGGAGCTCGGGATTGAGGCAGGGTACACTGCCGGGCTGGAAGACACGAGAGCACCACTGCCGCGGCGGGGCAACACAAGAGCACTGCCAGAGCGGGCATTATTCCAATTCGCTCCCACGCTGCGCCTCCTAAAGATCGGCTACCACACCTTCCCCTCCGCCGGTGCCGTGGCGGCGCTCCGGCTCCCGCACCTCGAGCTCATCTCGTTCTGCTGCGTGGACATCTCGGAAGCCACGCTCCACGGGGTGCTCGCCGGCTGCCCTGTGCTCAGAACCCTCGTCCTCGACGGATGCACCGGCTTCGCCACTGTCCGGATCAACTCACCCCACCATTACAAGCTTCGCCATCTCACCTGCAGATTCATCCACAACGAACGACTACGACTCGTACTTCTTCGACTACGACTTCTACGACTTCGACTACGAAAATATGAGGGTGAGGGTGACGACGTGGCAGGTTATCATCGAGGATGCCCCTCTCCTAGAGAAGCTGATTCCCTGCCGCCGCTCGGCTAGTGCTGAATCTTTCCAGCTACTAGTGCACAGCGCTCCCAGACTCAGGGTCCTGGGATCCCTGTCCTCCAGCATCCCCAAGTTGGAGATTGGCGGCACCGTCTTTGCAACGACCATCCGCCGTGTCAACCGTGTGAGACCTGACAATGTTATCATGGAGAAGCGTTTGCTGATGCAGGCCGACATGCTGGCAACGACACTGCGAACCGTCAAGATCTTGGCTCTGGAAGATGCAGATTCCATTGATGTCGTCAGCAACTACTTGAAGTGTTTTCCATGCTTGGAAAAGCTATACATCTCGGTGAGCTCTTCTCAACTTCAAATTTTGTTTCATCATAGTCTTATGTACATGTTCCGTGCTTGCTGCTAAAGTTTTGCAGTTTCTGTTGCTTTTGGCTTAATCACTCTTCGCTAACTAAAAGGGCTTGTTGCATTACCAATTTATGTTGCATCAATGCTTATTTGTCTTGGCTATCGAAAATAAACATTCTTTCATTTGTTATTTATTGCTATTCAGGCATCACAAGGATACAGAAGTGCTGCAAGCTATGATAAACAAAATCCCATCGAGTGCCTTGAGCATCATCTTAAAATGGTAGCATTAGATGTATATGATGGCATACGACCACATGTCAAGTTTGCCCAATTCTTTGTTCGAAATGCCCGGTTGCTAGAGTTGATGAAGTTCAGAATCTTTAGAAACTACGACTGTGAACCTGGGAGGACCAAGGAATGGATTGAGGATCAGCAAAGGCAACTACAAGTCAGGAGCATGGCTTCCCGACATGTTAAGTTTCATTTTGTACATGATGCTAGATATTATCAAGATGTTTACTGTGGCGAGGATATCAGTGACCTGTCAGAGCACATCCATGATTCCTCAAGAGATGACCCATTTGATCAATGGTTTGAATCAGAGAAGGAAGCCCTGGCGTGCTGAAGGAAAAAAAGATGCTATAGTTTGGAACTCCAGCTAAAGACTTGGTTCATTTGATCAATGCTGAATAACAACCTCATGTTCAACCTTTATTTAGTTCTTTATGTGTCTTCAGTTGATGATATCACATTTTCTGTTTTGTTGCTTCAGTACGAATCTTGAGAAAGCTAGTCTGTCCATATGAATGTATTAAAGCATCATATTGTTCCCTTTCATCTGTATGGATTTTCAGCAATGAATATCCCTGATTAAACAGCTGTCTTTCCACAAGCTTTATACGCATACATGCATGTTAATGATTCCCCTGCTCTAAGATAATTCTATAGTTCAGACTTCCATCTGCCAAGGGCTGCTCCGATTTAATTCCACAGGTAGTAGCATGTGAAGAGATGATTTAAATCCACAGGTGATAAAGGGTGTGAGGAGATGATAGGTAACAGAGCAAGTTATTTCTCTAAAAGCAAGCTCCGGTTATATAAGGCAAATCATTGGAGTTGTTTATTGTCATAGCAGGGGTGTGTAGCAACAAGATTTAAAAATGAGCTCAATTTCTGTGTGTGTGTGTGTGTTTTCTGCAATTGGGAACTCTATTTCAGAATCTAAATTATGATACTTGCAGTATGAAAATTTGCTGCTTGGTTAATATGGAAACTTGGAGGTCTCTGACTTTTGGCTGAGTGCGCTATCTCTGCAATCGAGGTAAATGACTTCTTGCTTGTGCTCCTCCAAGTTACCAGAGTACTTGGTAAAAAAATCACACATTTTTTCTCAACAAATAGTCATATATCAAAATGAAAAAATTATAGGCAATTTGACAATCCACATATCTCAAAATGAAACACTTTGTGTCAGTAAAGAATAGCAACTTCCAGTCAAGGAGGAAGGGTTGAGACAGGATTATGGTTTCTCAATGACATTAGAAAACAATGATTGGTTAGGACGATGCGCATTTGAGCTTTACAATTGTTTTGATTTTTTTTCCTGCAGAAGCTCAAGTATTTTCCATTCTTTTGTCCTGTGCTGGGAATGTTTTTCTCTGAGCGCATAGAACAAATCAATCACATGTGTTAGTTATAGTCCTATATTTGTGTTATTTTTGATATGTCTATCTCCTCCCCATACCTTTTGGTTTTATATGTGTTGTCTACACCTATCATATGGATCTGATTTTCATGCCTCAACAATTTTTCTTCTTTTTTTTAATTATTCAGAGGATATCAGCAAAAGATGCACTTGTTGCATCTTAATCTTTTCAATCAAATTTGCTGAGAACTTCATTCTCCCATTTAGATTATGTGGCTCGATTTCCCTCCTCATCACCACCCGTTGTCACTGTAGCCATGGGTCAGTCTGAACTTGTGGATTGGCATGGGTTGGAGGGCCAAAAGAAGGTTGGCTTGCAAACCGGACTTAGCAACCAACGCCTGCGGCGGCGGCGGCCTGATTTAGGACTCTGGTTGTCTGGTATATGTTTTTCTACTGTCATCCTGTGCATAAGTACTTAATGCTCGAACTACTGTTCAGAATCTCTTCTCCTTGTCAATATGCATCCACCACTGTCTTTATTTTGAGATGCCTGCAGACCATCTTTGTTTTGCATAAGTACTGAATTGCAGAAAGCAGATTCATCTGCTACTTATGCTGGTCTTTTCTTGAGTGCAAAAAATGATTCTGATCAATATCCATCTACCTACTTTGTTGGGAGTGGCAAAAATCCAATTGTCTCTTTTGAGCAGAATGTCAAAATTCATGTAAGGTTTATTTTTTCTTGATCCGTTAAACTACTGCCTTACCTATGAATATTTGGTTATTTCTTCCATGTTAGTACTTGATTACTGTTGAGTGCAAGGACTGTCTATTTGGTTGTTTCTTCCATGTTAGTACATGATTACTGTTGAGTACAAGGACTGTCTTTAGAGAAATGATAGAGACATAGAGACATTATCATTTTTATCTGGGATGCAATGCAGAAACTGTCAAACAAACTAGTCTCAGTTCGAAGGCACAGATCCCCCTCCCCTTACATCCCAATCCACAATGGGTTTCTTGTTATTCCTGTCTCCTCTCTTTTTGTAATTTGTTGCTTCTTGATGCGTAACATTCGACCATGTTGGGGTTTAAATATGACCTTTGATTAGTTTGTGTGAATACAATAGCTGCTGATTTTGTGTGGTATGTGTTGCAGTATATTGTGAGGGGTGGGAGGGATCTGTTCCTGCCATTGCCGGACGCCTTCAAGGGAATCAATAAATCAGGATGATCGGCTTGGACTTGCAGGATATAAAAAGCCTGAAGATAGACTACGTCGTAAATGCCCAAATGAATGTGTTCTCTTGGGGACAATATCTTTGTGACCAACTGTAGATTTGGATTATGGCTTTAACATTTTCCAGTCTACCACTCTTTGGTTGGATGGAAATGTTAGGGTGAATTTGCTTATGATGGTGTTCAAAGTCTATATTGTGGGCACAAGAAAATTAAACATTATATGCTAGTATTAATCACTTCAAACTACTAATGTCAGGCACTCAGGCTAACATAAGACCCATGGTCTGACTTGGCCCCTGCTATTGGGCTTGAGTGTTACTTTGCTTTGTGCTTTATACTGGCATCTAGATGCTTTTATTGGAAGACTCAAATAGAGTATCTGCAGTTCATCAGGTTAGTTCTGTTCAGGTTTGTGAGAGGAAAACACTTTTGGCTGGCCGATAATTCACGAACAGGCTGTATATGAATTCACATGAAGCTTTAAATCTTTACAATTGCATTTGCCTGTCCAGGTGTCACCGGATCACATGCTCTGCGTGCCTGTCTTGGCGTTACAAGGACACTCATGCGGATCTGAGCTCTTACAACGAAGACCAGGCCTCAAGAATGCCCTACTGCACATGCGTTTCAGCTAGGACTTGAGCCGACTTTCAGACGTTTTTGGTCTTGCTTAAATTTGTCCGTCCTAGTTTGTTTTACAACAAACCCTTTCTAACACGATATCAGCTCATCATAACTGTGCCAAAGGAACAATTAACAATAGCAACACGAAAATTAACAACATGAATGCACAAGATGTTTGATGTCATACGTTACAACATATATCAATATGATATACGCATAGGTAGCAGCTGCGACAATGAACAGCAATGCCATGATCCACACTTCACATCTGGCCACCCCGTCCATGCTGGAGTTCATGAGCCTAGGTCCCCCACATGACCCATCTTAGTGCAACCGCCACCCGCTCTTGTTGGATTTTTTCCACAGGCACAGCTCCACGAAGTAATCCACAGCATTGAACCAGGTCGACCACCATCTAGCTCATGACCACATGCAAACCACTTCCTCATTGCATCTGCAGCAAGTTTTTAATGGGTGATTATTAGACATGCAGCTCAGCAAATGTGGACATATGGGCAGTAGTCCTAATAAATAACTCAAGGTGTAAATAATAACTGTGTCATGCAATACCTTCTCAACTGAACTGTACCCAAGCATCACTTGAGAGTACATAAGGCCCAGGATATAGGCAGCAATGCATAAACACAAACTCACCAGGCTCTAAGCTTTGCCTAAGCCCTAAGCACGACTTATTCAAACACACTGATTTCAAGGAAGCTAACTGGAACACTAGCCGTAACACCTTTTTTTTTCTTTTGGCAAGGACTCATTGCCTTTTACACAAGCTATCAGTAACAATGATCAACAAAACTGGACAACTCCATTCCAGCCTGAGAGCATACCAGTGGCATGTCCTGGATTAGTTGAACTTGCCACAAAATTGGATTGGATTGTCTTGGAGTATGTCTCTGTTGTGGACGCTTTCATTGGAAAGCACTATACTAGGAAGAAGAAGAAGGCGTCAGCTGCCTCTAGTGGCTAGAATTAGTCCAAGCTAGCTAATAATAGAACATGCACGAATAATAGGAATACCACATCCGCTCATTTGGGTGTTATAACCACAGGTGTGGCTGGGGATTAGGATCAAGTAGAGTATTGATGATCAGAGCCTCCCAGAGAGTGCGATCAGGCTCTGCTGCTGCCATTGTTCTAGGACTAGCCATTGTGATCTTCCCAGTTCACCAATAAGAACTCCCCATATTACTAGCCATATCATCTTGTATCAAAGACCTCTCGATCCTCTCACCTGCCATGGGTGATGATATCAAGTCCGCTCTAGATGCCATCCTCAACAAACTCTCCACCGTCGAGAACGACAAGACGACGATGAAGGGCGATCAGAGCTGCCTCACCGTCGCCGTCAACCGGCTGCAGTCGAACCACCTCTCCTCCGGCGGCTCCCATAGCAGCAAGGACGCTGCCCATGGCGCCCCTCCACCTCCGCCCCCACGCAAGCACGGCAAGCACAAACTCCGGTTCCGTGCTACGACGGCACCACCGATCCGGTCACCTGGCTTCATAAGGCATAGCAGTTCTTCCGCGCCGATCGCACGGCGGACGACGAGCGGGTGTGGCTCGCCTCTTTCTACATGGAAGGCGCTGCCCAGGATTGGTACTACCACCTAGAGCAGAACCACGGCGCTCCCACATGGCCGGAATTCGTTGACAAGGTGCAGCGGGCATTCGGGACGCTGGCGCGCAGCAATCCGCTCGGCGCCCTCATGAAGCTTCGCCACATCGAGACGGTTGAGGAGTACAAGGCGCAGTTCCTGCCCATGCTCGTGCGCTGCCGGCCACTCCAGGAGAAGGACCAAATCAACATCTTCACCACCGGCCTCCGTAACCCGCTGTAGACGGATGTCGAGCTCCAACACCTTGCTACCCTCGACGACACCATGGGCCTTGCGCGGGCCTTCGAGCGCCGCTTGGACCTGGATGGCGACGTTGAAAGGTCCTAATGGCTAGAGGGGGGGTGAATAGCCTATTAAAAATTTCTATAACAACACTTAACAAACCGGTTAGACAATTATGAGACGAAGCAAGTGTTGCGCTAGCCTACTAAAGAAGCAAGCCACCTACCACAATTCTAGTTTATATAGTTTCTATCCACA